CCCCCCTGTGCCCCCCGCCGTGGCTGGCCCTGCGCTGAGCCGGCTCCCAAACCCAGCGCCCCTGCGCAGGGCCAGCAGGGGATGAGAAGTCGCTGCCTCCAGCTCCGGCCAGCCCCGGGGCCCAGTTCTCCCACCGCAGGGTTGTCTAGAGCAAAAAGGGGATGTTTAATGAGATTCAAAGTTTCAGGGAAGATGATCAAACCCCTTCCAAAAAGAGGGAAGAAAAAACAGAAAAATATTGGGGAAAATAAAAATTTTCCAAGATTTGAATGGAAGATGCTTTGGAAGGAAAGGGAGTATTACAATTTAATATACGTGTTAAAATAAAGCAGGTGCTTGCTTGTTTAAAGCTAGAAGGATAAATACCATCCTGCCATTTTAATGCCATGTCTCATTTCTGCCTGGCAGCTGTCAGCAAGGAACCCTTGCTTGACAAACACGCCTGTTTCGGAGACGTATTTCCCATAATTTGTGTGGGGTGGGTGTATCTGACTTCGCTCGGGGTTTTTCCGCGCTGGATCAAGAGGAGGATCCCATCGGAGGGGGCAGACCCGGCACAGGCAGGGAAACAGCAGGTAGCAGTTTTGCCACGGCCGTTTTCCCTTTAGAGGAGAAAACCACCTCACATTATCTTTGCCTTTTCTGGCCCAGAGAGGAGTGCTGGGTCTGGTATCATCCCGGCGCCGGACCAGGAGGACTCCCTTTTACACGGGGTGGAAGCAAAAGCTGTGGAGCATTTGTACGCTGTGTACGAAGCTGTACGTCTGCACGCAAACGGAATATGTTTCTGTTTCCTCCCTGACTGGGAGGCAAGCACCCACACTCCCTTGCATTACTTTCCTCTTTATCTACTGCTCTTCATTTCCTCCCACCTCCCCTTGAAAAAAAAAAAAAACCCCGCACACGCAGCTTTGTTGAACAGGTATCCAGCGCGCACTCGTCCGCAGCTACCCTGGGCTGCCGAAGGCTTTGCAGCCAAACCTACAACTTACCCGGTTTTCTGCCCTCTCACTATGGCCTGGCTTTGGTGCCTCTGCCCAAACGTGGCCCGAGGAGGGAGGTGACACTGCGGTAACCTGTGCCTTTAATTATTCCGGCTGAGAGTTGCATGCGGATGTTATGTCAGAATAACACCATCAGCTGTGTCAGTACGAAAAGGTAAAAATATCGAATTCGATATTGCAACCAAAGATAAGCAGAGCCTATCTTCTGCATGAGACTTTCTAGCTTGTTAGCCTCTTTTCCAGCTTCCGGGACTGGGGAGCGGTGAGAGGGTTCAGGAAGTTTGAGCTTTTCGCGCTGAGCCAACAGTGGTATCGGTAAACAAATTGGTTCGGAGATTTCTTGTAAGCATTTCATTTTCTTGTTCCCTCGCTCTGATAGGTGCTGGCAACCAGACAGGGAAGGATGTGGCTGCCCGGGAGGGCTGAGTCACCCGCAGAAACTAGTTTTGAACTTGGTCTGGAAAGAGCCAGTTAAGTCTTTGGACGCTTTGTGCTAGCTTCATCACAGCTAACGCAGAGGAGAAGAAACAAAACCAGGAAAAAGCGGTAAGTTTTGTTTCTCAGATTTTAAGGGACGGAGAGGTCAGAGGGAGGACTGCAGGCCACACACCCTAGGTGCTTTAAACTCCCCGCAGTTGCCGTGCATCACTTCAGGACTTGCTTACGGATCTAAAATTGATATTTCAAATACTGATGTTTTAGCCTGAGAAACGAGGTTGGGCAGGTCCTTTCCTCTGTCACGTTGGCAGGAATCCTGAGATGGCATCAGCTGGACAGGTTGTGGCTGGGAAAATTAGCCTGCACTAAAGTCCTTGCTGCTTTGGTGGTATCTCAACTCAAAGCTACTGGGGGCAGAGCTACATTTTTCTGCATTGCTAACTCAGAAGAAAGGCAGAAAAGGTAGGAAGCTTCTCTCCTGCATCATATCCGGAGGTGTATTTTGGTGTTAGTGCCATGCAGCACCCTGGGTTATTGCTTGCTCATAAGAAAGGTGCATCTCTGCCACTGGAAATTAACTGGGCTCCTGTTATAGGGGAGATCTCTTCCAGGCTCGTTCTCAGTTATTCCTAGGTGCTTTTGTGCCATGAAAAGTGCATTGCTGTAGGGGGGCAGGATTTCAGCTTAAGGAATTGGCTCTAATATAATGCAGATAAAGTTTCCTGCCATTTTAAGGTGTTTGTCTGCAGTGCAAAGTAGCAACCAGCCAAGATTTAACCACCTAACTTGCAAGGGTGGCCAAATAGAGCTGAAAGTAGAAGGGCTAGTTGTTATGGTTTATTAATTATTAATCAGTAAGTTTCCTGTGCCAGCAAGTCTTAAGATCCAGGTGAGTCTTAGCGTTTTTGAGTCATTATGATAGTCAGATGTTCTTCTATTAATGGGAAGATCAGTCCCCTCTGAGACATCAGGCAAATGCACTGCAAAGCATCTCTATTACAGATGGCTTCTTAAATGTGCAGATGCCCTCATAGTCTGTGGCAATGGAGGATCTTCATATAGTCCACCATAGATACGGGAGGATCTGATCAAATTAGTGCTTTCTTTTACTATCAGGAAGGTTGGAAAGCAGGGGCAGTACCCAGAGGGCTAAATTAATCTTCTGGCTTTGCTCAGGCTTTGGAGGGATTTCACTATTCTCTGTCACTCTTTGGGGACAAATTCCCAGAGAGCGGCTTTTCTGAGCTTTAAGCAAGCATTCCTTTTTGGAAGTGGAGGAAATGCTCTGTCGCTGTGCAGTAACCACTGAAGGGAGCGCTGGTGCATATATATGAGCAAGATGAGCAGGTTACTAAAGAGGCTTCACTTTACCCTTGGGAACATGAGCTACCATAAGGGAATTTGCAAGGCAAAAGCCTCCAAAGGTTTCCAAAAAAGCAGAACTTCAGGAACATGTGGGGCTGGAACAAATGACTGTAATTTATGCATCTTCTCTCATCTCCACGATTTGGTGTATTTATTATTTGAAAGATGGCCACTGTTTAGCAAATGTTTTTGGAAGCCTTTGAAAGATTGATTTCTCAACATGAATGGTAAGCAATTTTTTTACAATTGTTTCAGGCCCAGAATGGCTCTTGAAGAGGACCAACAGCAGCAGGCGTGGGTTGATTTAGCGACAAAGTATCCTGAACTAGTTGTGCAAGTAGGAAAAATATGTTTTGGTGAAAAATCAAGAAAAAAGATATCAAAAAAGTTAAGACAAGATCAAAAATACACACTTGCCTGTGCAGCATGTGCCTTGCTAAACTCTGGAGGAGGTGTGCTAAAAGCAGAGATTGAAAATGAAAACTACAACTTTGAGAGAGATGAAATTGGACTGGATATAGAAGAGACTTTTCGATCTCTTCTTCTGTCACCAGATTTGGCAAAATACCTTGACTTTCAACAGCAAGATAATTACCTTTTGATTTTTATTAAAACCTGGAGCAGTGAAAAATCTTCCTTAAACTCTAGCATTGCAAAACCACGTATCTGTAGCCTGACTTCTAGGTTGTATGCAAAATGTGGTGCTTCTCTTTCTCATATGAGCCCTACAGAGGCTTTTGGATTCCTTGAAGGAAAGCAAGTTGAAGCCAAGAGAGAAGCGAGCTCAGGACCAACTGCTAAGAAAAGGAAAATAAGGGATGCTGAAGGAATGAAGGATATCATAAACAGTACTGTTGATGAGTTTTTTAACAGGGACCAACTGCAATATGGAGAGACTTTGAATTTCACCGAGTCGGGAGATGTGGAATTTAAACACTATTCAACTGAGAAATTCTTGACTCGTGTTAAAGAGATTCTACCTCAGTATATATCTGGGTTTGCCAACACTCGTGGAGGGTATTTATGGATTGGTGTGGATGATGATAGGAGAGTACAAGGATTCATCAGCAGTGATGAGGACCTTGAAAAATTAAGCCTTGAAATCAAGTCCATTCCACGCAAATTAAAGCTCTTCCATTTCTGTGATAGTGAATATAAACACACCATAAAGTATGAACACAAAATCCTCAAAGTATACAATGAGCATGGAGAGCACTGTGGATATGTCTGTGCTGTGAAAATTGAACCATTTACTTGTGTCGCATTTTCAGAAGATCCAGATTCGTGGCTTGTGCGAGGCAGCAATATCGACAGACTGACAGCAGTTGAGTGGGCCAAATGGATGACCTCCAATGATCCAGGTCCAAAAGACCCAGAACAATTCTTTTCCATTTCCAATATTCCCTTTTGTTTTCTTGTTCCTTGCCTGGCAGTGTTGCTTGCCTTAAGTATTCCTCCCTGCTTTTCTCTTTGGGCCTGACCAAACCAACCATTTTGACTGCTTCATTTCCTTACTAAATACCAATCTTTCTGCTACTTATCTCCCTTAATGCTTTTTTCAGGCTGCAGCAGGTCCCGGTGACTGGAAGCCTACTATATATGTTACTTCATGCTTCTGCAGCATGAGCTCTCTATGCCTTGACAAGGGCTGCTAGTGAGGTTAGGCTGCAGCGCACATGTTATTTTTTTTTTACATAGTTGCCATAGCTCAGTTTTTGCTTTCAGGCTGAATCTTGAAGGACAGGAAGAATTTGTGCACCGATGCAAATAATGATCTTTTCTATACTCTCCCTCCTATTTTTTGGAGGGATTTTTCCACTGCTGCTGTCAGTCTAGTAGGGCTGAGAGCTGCGGATAGAGAGATTGCTTGCTGGACAGTTCTTGGGTGTTGAAAGGGGGATCACTAACGGTTAAAGGTCACAACAGCAACTCTAACGTGATCTGTGAGAAAACTAAGAGCAGGTCCAAGGTCCATGACTTCTGCCGCTAATCAGCTGCTGTCCACGTGAGTCCCAAAGGTTCTGTTTATGCATCAGTTTTTTTAATTTATAGAAGAGTGAAAGAACTAAAACTAACATGAGGACAGCTTGTGACCCTTGCACTAAGGGACAGCAAATGCTGATGCTGTATCACAGATTTTATCTCTTTTTTTTCTAGATCTTTCTCAGTTTTCTGACACCTTCAAGCTAGAGCTCAGTCTGACAGAGGGGCCACCGCTTGCCAAGTCAGTTTATTCACATCAGGGCCTTGACAGCATTGATGATCTTCATAAACAACTGTTTCCAGGTAGGTCTGCACAATACTTTTGCTATCTGAGAGGTTTACAACGTGAATTTTAAGGGTGCCGTCAAGGTCAAAGATTAGTTTAGAGACATTCTTCAAACAGGTGAAAGAGATGGTAAGAAATCTGCCAGCAACATCACATTCAAATGCCTGATGACCCCTTCCCCAAGGACTGATCCCCTGCCAAATTTCAATAGGTGTACGTGCCAGAGCCCAGCTAGCTGAACCTCTCTGGGGACTGAGCACAGCTATGCTAATGTCTTTTTTGCATTCAGGAAACATTAACAATCCAGTGCAAAATGGGAGAGAATGGGTCACTTGGAATCAGCCTTAAATATGTAAAAAGGCAGGGGATAGGAATAGTTGCTCTTAACTCTGGCTGGGACCAGACTGGAGAATTTGCTGCCAGTTGCATTTCAGCATTTCTCTGGCATTGCAAGATCTGCCAGCAGTCCAGGGGTTCTTTGACTGAGCCATTAATCTTTGTTTCTCTATCCATTAGGCAGGTCTCCTAAACATAGTTGGCATAAGCCGGTCCTATGCTGGCAATTTTAGCAAAGGGACTGAGAGCTGGGTCGAAAATGAGGACTGAGTCTGCTGAGGAAGTAGTCTTTGCAAAAGAATCTAGAAACACATGGAGGCAGTAAGGAAAACTTTGAAGCAGCAGCAAAGGGATTCCAGGCAGCTAGGCTGTGTATTTGTAATTTTTCACCAATACTAATTCTCACAGAATTGTTTCAGAGGACTGGATTAGCATGTCTTAAACTAACACCAACCATTCTTCTGCTCTGCGTTTTTAGTGAAATCTCACAACATAACATACACACCAGAAAAACTCAGAGAAGATCTCTTCCAAGAGTACCCAGGGTTGGCTAATTTACTGGAAGAACAATTGAAGGAGCTTTCTGCGGGAGTTCTGATATTTTCCAGAAGCTGGGCTGTTGAGGTCGGCTTGCCAGACAACCAATTTGTAATTTGTGATGTTCTCCTAATAGCCAAGGGTAGGCCACCTACCCTTTATACAGTCTGTAAATCTCCCATCACTAGGTTTTTGTTTGACTACTCCAGACTCACAGCCTGGAGGCTGAAGCAGAAATTAGTCAACACCGGGGGCTATATTCACAAGCTGTGTATAATACCGAAGCTACTGTCTTTGCTTCCAGACATTAACTGTGGAAAAGAATGGGATCTGAATATTCAAGAAATGTATCCCCAAAACTATAGCGTAATCAACAGTGACAATTTGAATGCCTTCCTGTGTGCTCTTACAGTAGCTTTGCTGAGTTTCCAGTCCTTTTTAAGTGACCATCTTGGTTCTGAGTTTTTCAACCTCTTGACTGTCAAACAATACCAGCTACTGTCAGAAAATCTTCATAAAACTAAGAAGCTGTTTGTTCATGGCCTGCCAGGAACAGGAAAAACTGTAGTGGCCCTGAAGATCATAGAGAAAATAAGAACTATGTTTCAGTGTGAAAAAGAGGAGGTTCTTTACATATGCGAGAACCAACCTCTGAGAGATTTTGTGAGGTAAGTATTTCCTTCAGCTTTTCATTGCCATAGTCTGTTGTTTGACCAGCATTTTAAAATAGCAGAATGTTGATTAGTATATTTGGTGTGCTAAGTTTCCACCACCATTGCAGTGTTTGAGGTGTGTAGTTGGAAGGTATTTTTAATAAGGCTTAAATTCTTCTTGCCATCCAGGGCATCTACTAATAAATATGACTTAAATATCATGGACATTCACTTTGTTCTGATCAAGTATAACTAGTAGTTTGCAATACACAGAAATTGCATGAATTCTTAAGTTACTTGTAATTCTTTTGTAGACAGAAAAACATTTGCCATGCTGTTACAAGAGCAACATTTTTGATGAGATCATTTGATGAGGTGAAGCACATAATAATTGATGAAGCACAGAATTTCCAAGCTGGGGATGGTGATTGGTACAACAAAGCCTTGCATCTGACTTCATCACAACATCTCTCTAAGCCTGGCTTTCTCTGGATTTTCTTGGACTACTTACAGACAAGTCACTGCTTTCGAACCGGTCTTCCATCAGTGGAATGGCATGATCCAGTAGAGTCACTAACCAAAGTGGTCCGTAATGCTAACCGTATCTATTCCTATGTAAAAGCAATGATGGAAGATATTGTAGACAATCCTACGCTAAATATTCCCATACAACATTTAGAAGAGTTATTATATAAAGCCACGTGTGCTCATGCTGTGCAAGGTCATGTTAAAGAACAAAGGAAGCTAGATAGAAATGGAATAGCAAAATATGTAGTAGAACATTGTCACAGATATCTTAAAATGGGTTATGCTGAGAAAGATATTGCTATTTTGTGCTACAGAGATGAAGAGGTAAGAGCATACGATCAAATACTAAGATCAGAACTGAAGAAATCCAAGTCAAATATGTCATTAGCAAAAATGGAGGGAGGGATGGAAACATGCACTGTTCTTGACAGCATCCGTCGTTTCTCTGGCTTAGAGAGAAACATTGTGTTTGGTATTATTCCTGTTCCTATGCCCTCCCAGGAAGAAATTTTCAGAAACATAATAGTCTGCGTAGCATCCAGAGCTAATTTACAGCTACATTTGCTATTTGAACATTGGGATCCTAGATAGTTTTCTGACCCCAAGAAGGCCCTTAGAGAGGACCATGGTTATATTTTCTGAAAGTTTTTTGGCTCTGTGTAAAGTGTAAAGATTTCTTTTGCAGGCCTTTGCAATAGCCTACTGGCCTTGGGAAGCCCTTACAGTCTGTTTTAAACCAAAGTTACAAAAAGACATGAAGAAGAGATACTTCAAATGACAGTAGAATTACATCAGTCACTGGACACTCCTTTCAAGGTCTTGCAAAGCTCTACTCTCAGCCTTTGACTGCACAGGAGTATGTTGGCAAGTGAAAGCCACTATGCTAGGTCAGGAAACTGGAAGACTTTCTGGCTTTCACCAGCTCACTCCCTTACACATAATAAGCTACCAAACAGCTTAGGCATCCAATGTTGAAAGCCATTTTTTAAAAGATAGCCTCCTTTCAGATACTCAGAAAAGAAAGAAAAAAAAAAAAGGGGGGAGGGGGCTTCTGTCCAACTTTCAGCTAGGAAACACAAATAAATGGCTTTTACAGAAGCAGCTTGCCACTCTGAACACCAGAGACAGTCAGTAGAGGTTGAAAAACTCACAGCTCCAAAGAGAAGAGTTAGTGGACAAGGGAAGCAGTCCATACATGACTTTAGATAGCAATGGCATTTTTTGTCTTTGTTTCAGACATACTGGCTAGGTAAAAATACCCATAGAGAATTAGGTGCAAATACTTTTGAAAGACAGATCCAAAATTCTTAAAACTGGGCATCCAAAATTGAGGGCCAGATGAAAACAAACCTGAACATGGACACACATTGTTTTCCTTGTAGTATAACAGCTAGAGCAGGTAGATACTGATCTGCATATGGGGAAATTACTGACATTTATTATGATGATCCCTGTTAGAACTATTTTAATGCACTTGACTTTACTTTTAGATCATTGTTGAGTAAAATTCTAGTTGCTATCTGCTGACTTTTTTCCCCTCCAGGGACTAAAGGGACTCATGATCTGTATTGTGTATAGCATATATAAAGAATCTGTGCTTGAATGTAAACATTTACACAGTAAATGCTGATGTGACAAACTGGCGGGTTCGTTTCTCATTCTGCTTTCCATAAATCAGGTATTTTCAGTATTCCCTATTGAGCCAAGCAGTGTGGCCCCTAGCATGACTTCAGCTTGTCCCATTAGTGCTCCTTCCTCATACAGCCTACTTGTGATGACTTCACATATTCATCTGAGCAGCATTAGGTATTTTGCAAGTAGTGGAAATTCAACCTCTGCTGAATTATTGACTCTCTGAATTGCTGAACTGTTTTCTCTTCTTCCTGGCTATGATGCAAGATTGCAAGGAGGAAGCCTCCAAGATCCTTCATTTGCTTTAATGAAAGCAGAACAGCAGAGATTCCACACAGAGCAAAGTAGTGAATTTATTAAGTTCATCCACCATTCTTGCACACTGGCACTCCACTTAAAGCAAATTAAATAAATCCCATAAATGAAGAAAAAAAGCACACAACTAAACATAGTCAAACCTATTTTCTGCCTACAGCATGGGAAGCAATTGTACCCCCTCCTGCTGTCCCGCCATCCCTAGGAATTGTGGAAGTACCAGGAATTGTGCACAGTTACAGAACACAGTTCACTTGAGAGCAGATCATTTCTCAGTAGCTTTTTTCTCCCCACTCACCTTTTTTATTGCTTTTCATTTCCTTATGCCTGAGAGAGAGGTTTGATCAGCCCATAATCCATGCACCTTGTAAGGCAATCACGTGCAACATTAATAACGTGCTGCTTCTTGGGGTCATCTTGCTTGCTAATGAAGGTCAGGATCTCTAGGAGCTCTGTCTCTACCAGTTTCTTTGCCAGGTCTTTGTCAGCACTCATTAAATTGAAAGCTATGACCAGTCCACGGTGCTGCACTTCCATGTTATCGTGCAAGCAGAGCCTCTGCAGGATTTCAAGCCACTGGTTTGTCTGCAAAAGGTAATAGAGATTTAAATCTGAAAAAACCTTCAACCAGGAATGCAAGTTGGGCAAGGCATTTCTCAGCAGAGGGAAGCACATGGACTCACCTCTTCATACTCTTGTGTCAGGAACGGTTATTTGATTCTTTAAGGAAACCTGACTCCAAACTTTTGAGCCCAATGTTTACTTTTAAAAAATCAGAAATTTTAATGGCTCTTGCGCCACAGAAAACAGAATAGCTTCATGTTTAGGCTGCTGCATATTTTCTGTGCAAAGAATCTGATCAGAGTATTGACAGAGCAAAGAAAACCAGGAAAGCACCCACTCTCCTCACTGATTCCCCTAGCCTCTCCTACTAGGTTGATCCTTTCTATTCTAACAAACCCCATTGTCCAATTTTGACATGTGCAACGCAACAGGGTTCATGAGTTCTCAAGCACAAGTCTTCAGAGATATTAAGCGATTGCAGGGTCTGCACTGGGTTCTCAGGACTAGGAAGTTGAGATGTTTTTGGATCTGTAAAGTTCAACAGGTATCTATCAAGCTCTTTTCATTTCTGAGTGAAGCAAGGTTTGGATTTAAGGTCATGAAATATCAAAAGATTTAAGGGTCTATAGAATAACATTCTGTATTCCTAACTATTCTTGTTTGACAGCTAGTAGCCTGACCTTAGCTTTAGAAGCAGCTATATGAAAACGTTACAGCTCTCAGCTGAAGTCTTAGAGACTAGTATAAGAAAGCTGCTGTACTTTGTGCAGGGATGGACTAGGAGCATGCACGCGCAGGTCATGCTTGACCAGTGTAAGGTCCTCTCTAGTCAACTGGTGGACTAGCTCTTCCTTTTGAGAGGCATTTCATGACTGAGCCAGGCCCCTTGAAGCGTATTTCTACGCTGCCAGTAATTAGGCTTATGGCCTTACCACTTCAGTCATCTTAGAGCAGAGTTTCTTTTGTGCAGCCGTAAGCACGGCTAAAGCTCCTGCTGCTGCAATCTGGACTTTCTCATCATCTTCACCACACAGTAACACCACCAACTTCAAACGGTCATTGCCATCAGCCACAAACCG